AACTTTACAAAAGACTAAAAGTGAAGAAGCAGGGGCAGGGTCTGGGGGAAGGTAGAAGAAAGAGTTTATGCTGTGCTTTGCTTTGTCTTTTAGAGCACATCATGTTCATTTAGTTAATACTGTTTCATGAGCATCTATATCAAGTGCAGGTAGATTTTTCTATGAGTATATGTATGATATAAGTCACAAAGAACTCTATTCAGGGCCAGGGATTTAGCTCAGTGGTGCTTCCGCCTGCCTCTCAAGTGCAAGATCCTGAGTTCGATCCCTGGTATCCAAAAAAACACTGTTCAAATTTTTAAAAAGAAGAATAAAAATTTTAAAGAGTATTTCTAATTTTCCCCAAATTCATGTTGCTTCTTTTTGTTTTGTTTTGTTTTTTGAGGCAGGTTCTCCCTTTGTAGCTCAGGTTGGCCCTAAACTCACTATGTAGCCCAGGCTGGCCTCAAACTTGAGACAATCCTCATGCCTCAGCCTCCTGAGTGCTGGGATTACAGACATGCACCACAATTCTTGGCTGATGCTTCATTTTTTTTTAACCTCCCATTTTGTATTTGAGATGCTGAGTTTCTGGTTTTGTCTAGACATTATCTGAATAGGGAATAGAAGATTAGAAAGAAAAATGATTAAAAGTAAGTGTGCTTCTAGGGGCACAAATCATTTCTTTTGTCTCTTAAAAGAAAAATTCTAACTTTTGAAGGAGAGTTCATTTGTAAAATTGACTTTATATTTTATAAGCAGTGTTTAAATTCATTGGTGATAAAAATGTATGTTTGTACAGTAAAATCCCATTTTTTACATAATTCTTTAATGAAAACGACAGTTTTATGAAATAAAAGTGACTAGTAAAAATTGGAATGATATTTATAAGCTTAAACATCATTTTTATGGAGGTTTTTGTATAACCTAATTCATAAATACAGGGGAAAAGTAGGACACCAACATGGTTTGTATCCCATAATTACTCAAATTGAATAGGGTTTATTTTCAATAAAATTCTTATAGTAAATTGCCCAGAGTAGAGAGAGAAGGATTGGCCTGTTTTTACAAAAATATCTTGATTTTTACTAATGGAAATTTGCTGTTTTATCAGTAATGTTCTGTTGCATGTGTTTTCAGCATTGCTCTTTTGGGTTTTTATAAATAAAAGATTAGACCCAAGAAGTCCTAGTGTATAAAGACCTAGGATTGCATGTAAAGGGGAAAATAGGAGATGTTTATTTTATCCTGCTTATGATTAGAAATATTGCTTATCTTTAAAAGAGTTAGACTATCTTTAATGTGATTCATAAGTAATTTGGGATGCCATTTAGATTACTGTGTAATAGATTTACCTGGAGAAATTTCTGCAAACAAGTTAGTGCTTACAATTAAATTTGCCTTAATTTTGTAGAGTGTTTAGAAGAGAACCCTGTAATGGGTAATGAGTTATTTAAACCTGGGCCCCCCAGCTGATCTTTATAGAAAGAGAGACTAGAGTTGAGTTGGAACTTGTAAGTACCCTCAGTTGCACCACAGTGAAAAGTCTTTGTGTGTTCAGATGTGTTTGGGGCCATTGTGAATTCTTGGCCTTATGACTGATGATGCTTCCATGTTCCTGAGGCACAATCTTGTTGAATCTAATGACTTTAAGCTTATATCTAGAAATCTTTGAGAACTGATAGTGTTTGAGTCACATCTAGACTATTATTGAATTCCTTTTTTCCCTCTAGGCTTTATATTTGAAAGCTCACCCCTTTCAGGTTTCACTTTTGTAGACACATGTGTTTGTCCACGTTTTCTTCTTTCCCCCAGCAATAAAGGGCTGCAGCCTTGCTTACATGGAGTTCTGATTGGCTGGCTTTATATGAGACAGGGAATGTGTGTATATGTGTGTGGTCATTTGTTTGTGTGCCTTATTGCTTTCTTTGGCCTTGAAAATCAGAGCTGTGTTTAGATCTTCTTTTTCTTCAGTCTTTGCTTGCTGAAGTGATCCCCACCTTAAGCAAGCAGAGACTTGATGCAGGTTCAGACTTTCTCCATCTTTCTTATGAGTCAGACCGAATGCATTGCAGAGTGCAACAGAGTTGAGTCCCAGAGAGCTGCTGCCTCCGTAATTCCCTGGATACTGTCTCAGCACCAAGGATCTCATTTCTCTCTTGATGCCAAGAACTTACTGCAAGGATGGAGCATCGTCAGCATCTGGCTGTCCCTTGTGGTAGCTGAAAATCCTTTGGGCCACAGGGTACCATCTCTCCCTTGTTCTTAGTAGGGGGCTGACTTCAAGTGTAGAGAGAGGCTTGTTTGTGAAGTCAGTAGCTGAGATGAAATACTAAGGATCTTGCTTGCCCTTCCCTATGTTTGTCTGTAGCTACACCTCCAGACCATTCAAGAAGCCTACTCTCAAGGCTTCCAACCCAATTCCCAGAGGGCCAAAGGAAAGCTTCTTGGAAACATAATAGAGAAATTTTTTTCGGTGTTTAATTCCTTTTTTTTTTTTGGTACCGGGGATTGAACTCGGGTCCTTGCACTTGCAAGGCAGTTCACCAAACCTCTGAGCTAAATCCCCGGTCCTCGGTGTTTAATTCTTGAAGGTGTCTTGTTCATGGAGTCAGAAAAGCTTTCAATATAAGTAATCCCCAAACAATAGATGATCCAGTAGCATAGTCAGTTCTACTGCAGTGCAACATGTGTATTCCTAAAATTACCAAACTGTATAACATAGTGCAGTAAAAACCATACGGTGGATGGGAGGAACAAGATTAGGTGTACAACACTTGATGACTTAGTGATGCACACACAAAGTTAGGGACCTAGAAGAGCAGCAACTGCCACAGTAGATGTGGTACTTTACCTGGAAAGAGACCTGGAATTTGCCTGTGGATGTGGTGTCAGCAAAATAGCAGGCTGCAAGTCATAGTGATACGGAGGAAGGAGGATTGCCTGAAATCCATTGGAAAATCGCAACACTAGGACTGGTTTATGACCTGAGGCACAGGAACTGAGATAGCCTGTATATGGGGGTTGGGGTGTGTGTGTGGATGTGTGTTTATCCTACTTCTGGGCAGCTAGTTGAGCAGGGTGTAATTTTCTTTGTTTGCCTAGGGATTTTTGCAGACAAAATTATTCATAAGCAAATGTGAAAATCGTTTTATGCTCAGATTGTCCCCTTAATATGCACATCAATCACGATTGGACAAATTTGTGTTTTCTTGTAACAGAACTGGCTGTACTTTATTTGATTTTTGGAATTGAGTCCCTTTCCTTTCTTCCTGTCCACCATTATTTATTTCTTAATATGTATTTAAGTTAAGCCCTTATCAAATTGATTTTTTCTTACTCTGAGCACCTCTGGAGAAAACCAGCCTGAGATTTTAATTTTGCTAGAGATAATCCACAGGTAGTTTCTTGGTGAATATATACACATATTGAGACCTTTACTTGATGTCAGGCACAGTGCTGGGGATATAGAGCTGGGTTGTGCATGATCTTTACCTTCAAGAGCTTAGAATCTGAATGAAGAATTTTCTTTTTTTAAAATTAATTTTATTGGTACACTTTTGGCATACATAATGATCACATCCATCATAAGGAATTTGTACCTGTACCTAATATATCTTCATTCTTCTTTTTCCCCCATTCCTCTCACCTCCCTTCAACCCTTTTTCCCCTGAATGAAGAATTTTCAAAGCACAGATTTAAATATCTTTGTTGGCTCTTCTCAAATAGGATAGATTATGTATTTTCTTTATGATCATAGGAGCATACATTCCCCACCACCCCCAACTTCTTCCTTGTAAATGCAAAAGCAGGAGCAAAGAGCTTACATAGAAGAATCACAAAGATGTGAATCACATGTTGAAAATATGAAAATGTGAAGGACAGAAGAGGTTTTGTCGTGGAACTCCTCCCACTTGACTCCTTAATAAACCTAGTGATTAGATAGCCATTGGAGATTGAAAAATGAAAAACAGCAGATTTAAGATTAATATTATAGCAGGAACCTCATTCTTGTTAACCCCTCACATGTGTGTACATATGTATGTGTACTTTGTTGGTGAGAGTTGGTGATATGGAAAGGTCTCCCAAATGGTTAATATTAGTTACCTCAGGGGATACAAGTAAGTTTATTAACTTCTTTTTTATGCATCCTTTATTGTTTGGTTTAAGAAGCATGTTTTACAGGGCCGGGGATTTAGCTCAGCGGTTCGGTGGCCTGCCTTGCAAGCACAAGGAGCAGAGTTCAATCCCTGGTACCAAACAAAACAAAACAAAAAAAGAAGCAAGTTTTACTTTTTTAATTAAAACTAATAAAGTTGGAAATGAATAAATAATAGTAATAAACATATCCTCAGGGGACAGCTTTGTTTCAATCCTCCCAATAGAGCCTGAGTAGTTGAAACTGAATGTGATATCTCAGGTGTGGGCTGTCCAACAGGGTTCTGACATTCTTTGTGTAGCGTAAGATGATACTAACTTTCCTCGAAACAGCAGCACTGTGTTGTTAGGGGTTTCTGTGTTTATGGATCATTTATACTCCAGATTCTTTCTGACATCTGCTACTCTTGGCACACTCTGTGCTCAAAAGTTATTTGGGACCCAGGTCTGTTCTTTTTATGTCCCCTGCTAGATTTCATCTTGTCATTGTGGAAACACATAGTTAGCTTAACTAAGTACTGGCCTTGAATTCAGGCCATCTAGTTGCAGATCTTTACTACCACTAACTAGCATGAGAACTGGACAAGTAACCCGTCTTCCTGAGCCATCTTAAAAAGAGCAGCGGTCATGAAGTCGTGAAGTCTAGATGTGATACTGTCTGTCAGAATGTTTACTGGGCACCTTGCGAAATAGAACATGATACTAGCTGTTGCTGCTAGCATTAACCTCATCTCTCCCATCCATCTACTTGATAATGAGATAATTTTGGATCTTGGATCTTCCCTTAACCATGTTCTGAATCCCTCCTACCATAAACATAATGTCTTCTGAACTTCCCTCATAAGATCCCTCTTGCTCCACAGGTCCCTTCACCGATGTTGTTACCACCAACCTGAAGCTTGGCAACCCAACGGATCGAAATGTGTGTTTTAAAGTGAAGACCACAGCACCACGTAGGTACTGTGTGCGACCCAACAGTGGGATCATTGATGCTGGGGCCTCAATCAATGTGTCTGGTAAGTATGGAAACTGTAGGCCAAAGAGCAGGGCCGAAAGACCCTTTCTTGGGGCTTGGATCTGCAGTGGGGCACAGTAAGACAATAGGCTTTTCTCCACCTACCCCAGCCTTCTGCCCTCGTTAGAAAGCTTGGTAGTCCAGCCAGGGCACACACCTGTAATCTCAGCATTTGAGAGGCTAACGCAGGATGATTGCCCCCAGTTCAAGGCCAGCCTGGGCTCTACTTGGTCAGTTTGAGGTCAGCCTGAACTACATAGCAAGACCCTGTCTTTAAAAACAACAACAACAACAACTTAGTGGTCCCTATCACTTGTTTTTCTATAATTAATGCCTTTTTGTTTTTGGTACTTGCAGCTTTTGTGCCTCAACAGAGCAAAATTGGTAACTTTAGGCTTGACTTCAGGATAAATTTGGCTTTCAGTCCCTTGAAATTAAATCTGCCCTTTGGCAATAAATAAAAAAGGCTAAACAAACTTAATTTTAGTTTGTGGGAGAAAGCTAAATGGAGTTATTTTCTTATTTAACTAAATGATTTCTGACATTAAGCTCATGTCATTTCCAATGATTGGTAACTGTACTTTACTGATTGTGAAAAGCTAAGGGAGGTGAGGGTAGAAGAAATTGAAATATATTCATGGGTGTAAGTTTTGTGCATGTCTGAAGGGTTTCCCCTCTGTCCGAGAGTATACATCTTTTTCAAAGTCCAGCTTTTGAAAATGGGCTGGTAAAAAGCCCAAGTTGAGAGTTGGATTTCAGAATTAAGAAATGGGTTCAAGTTTGTATGTATTTTAGAAATGGAATAAACTTTTAATTCATTAGAACTTCTGGAGCCAAGAAAGAGCCATGGGGGAGCGTGTACTTATCCTTTAAATAGTAGGTGATTTGATGTCACAAAGGCTTCTTCATCATTAGACGTTACTACTCATTTGAGATGAGTTCCTATCTGGCTTTTTCCATGATAGATTTTGATTGTGTTATATTTGGCCACTCATTTGACACCTAAAAGAAAATGATTCACTTCTTTGGAAAGATATAAGGTGTTTCATTATCTGATCATATCTGCAAATTTCTATTCCCTGAATCCCTGGGTGTCTCTCATTACGGCACACCTGTCTGTACCACACTCCCCATGTGTGCTTCTCCCTGAACCTGTAAAACTTGCTCTGGATTCTTGAAGCAGGTTTTTGTCCAGGAGCAGATGGGAGAGAGAAAACTAGAACTGATTGAAGGTTCTTCTGTGCTGGGCCTGCATATTTTCTTTCTCACGTCATTGCTGTCTTTTTCCTGTGAGGGATGCATGGTTATCTCCATTTTGCCAGGGAGGAGACTTGGTGGTTGCAGGGTCACAAAGCTGGCAACTAACAAACCAAATTGTGGCCCACTCTTTCTGGTTCTGAGGTCTTTGCTGTGTGAACTGCACTGTGCTGCAACAAAAGGGGCAGCCCACAGTGTTGGCATTTCTGGATCCATTTGGCTTAAATTTTTCTGTTAAAATCATGGGCAGCTGAAATCTTTTCTTCCCTTCTTTTAACCACTTTGCCCTCTCAATTTTCTTGTTCATGTCAGATTTGAACAAAGTTGTCAGTAGACAAAAATGACCAGTATTCAAAGTCAGTATGAGGAAAACAACATGGTTTTCTGAACAAAATAATTTCAGGATAGTTGTAGAGTGTAGGTGTGTCTTTTAGTATTAAATATAACTATGGGTTTGTCTTTTCAGAAAGATCCTTCTCTCCTTTATCATAGGGATTTTTAAAAAATAATAACTCCCTCTGAGCATTTATTTGATTTATAATTAACTATTCAAGAAAGGCCAAGATTTTATGATTGTGGCTTTGCCTCTCCAGACAAGAAAGCAAGTATAGTATGCAGCTGTGAGCTGACTAGTGGCAGAGCTAGAGTGTGAAGCTACATGTGTTCGCTTCTGATCTATCTGGTGCTCTTTCTGTGACCCTGCCTTCCCTCAGTGGAGTTAGGGGACGACCACGCTTGGAAAGGGCTCTGAAACATGATGTATTTGGGGATAAAATAGCTGAATACAGAAATGTCCCTGTGTCTATAGGCCTTCCTCAAAATGAGATGCAATTGTATTTACACAGTTATATATGAGGAAAGACTCTCTTGTTATTTTTTGGTGTTTTCCTCAACGCTGTGGAGGAACCTGGATGAAGCCAGATGTCATTGCAATTTCCAGGACAGCCACGCAGCTTGGGAAAGGAGGTTAGCCCTGTGGGCTTCAGCATGATGAACCTAGGGACAACTGCATCCTTTTTTAGATAGGAATACCTTGGGATAAAAGCCTTGTCCTTGTCCTAGGGTCCTCTTGAAATACAGCCAATGATGACATTGTAGTGGTTCAGAGTTCACAGGCTCCTTTGGGAAAGGGAGTATCTCCAGGAGTGCATTGTCCAAAGGCCACCTTTCACTTCTGCCCAGGAGCACACATGGCCAAGAGTGGCTTTACACACTCTACTCGAAGTTTGCTGGACTTGAGGTCAGGAAGCTAGAGCAAGACGCTCAGCTCTGTTCTTTAGCCAGTTGGCTGTTCTTTGGCCAGCCTGTTAACCTCTGTAGGTTCTCCTTTTCTTGTTGTGAAATGGGGAGAGCAGCGTCCATCTCAGAGTATCTACAGGTTCTGCATTACTGAAAGTGTGGTGAATGAGTGGGGTTGCATTGTTTTTTCATTAGCTTTGTCAAAAACTGGCTAGTTTTTGTTGAAGATGGATTGAATAATATTTTAATTACCTTTTTAGAAACAAGGTCATCTCATAATTTTATTAATTTATGAATCTTTCCTAATTTTTTGAACAAATGAATTTTTCTTTCTGTATAATATACATCTGTTTTAGATAGTGAGAAGCCACAAGTAAATTTCCAAATATAATTTATAAAATCAAGTCAACTTAAAATTCTACCAGCATTTCCCTGCTTACCACGCACAATGTTACAGCATTCTTGTTTGTTTGTTTGTTATTGGTACTGGGGATTGAATGCGGGACCTTGCACTTGTGAGGCAGGCAGCAGAACCACTGAACTAAATCCCCAGCCTCAACAGCATTCTTGAAAAGGACATGACTAGTGCATTTCTCCATTTCTGCAAACCCTTGGGATATGCTAGCTATTAGAAAAGGTTATAAATCTTTCTTTTGAAGAGAAAGGAAGGGAAGTAGGGAAAGAGAGAGTAGAAGGATCTTGATGATGAAACCTGCCCGTGTAGGGCTGAGGGTTTTTTTTTGGGGGGGGGTTGAGACAGGGTCTCCCTATGTAGTTGAGACTGACCTGGAACTCACTGTGTAGCCCAGGCTGGTCTTGAACTCACAGAGATCCTCCTGCCTCAGCCTCCCAAGTGCTGGGATTACAGGCGTGCGCCACCACGCCGGGCTTGAGGGCTGAGGTTTTTAAAGCGCACAGATGTGGGTTGTGAAGCTCTTCTCACCTTTCAGATTATCCTGATATTCAAGAGACCTTACATTATGCTTCAGAACCTGAACTGTCATGCCGTTTTCTTCAGAACATGACAGATCGCTTACTTCCTGGGTCCTTAAAAAAGAAAAACAAAAAAACAAAAACCTCCCTTTTATAAACTCAGGTAGTAAAGTAACAGTTGGGTAGAAGCATAACTTTTTGTGACAGCAGAGTGTAACGAGCACATTTTCCCAGAGAGATGCTATGACCTCTCAGCCTCATGCTTTTGAGTCTGTTTAGAAGCCCTTTCTAGAACCCAGACTTGTTGGAGGAGGCAGTGCAGCAGGTGAGAGCCCAGAGTGGCTCTTCTCCTTTGAATTATTCAGATGTGGACCTCAGCAGAATAGGCAAACTTAAATGGAGATTGTAGGAAAGGAGATTGGATCCCCCCCCACCAGCGGAGCTTTCACATGCAAGGAAAATAAAACTTTTTGAATTAATGAATTGTTTGAGACAGTGGGGGGTCTCCCCATTTGTTCTAGCTTTACAAATTTAAGTCTGTTTTGTGAACCGTATGGTAGGAAAACATGTTTAAGGTAGATAATTTCTGAAAATGTCTTTGTAGTAAGCTCTTGGTGGTTTTGGAATTTCTTTTTAATACTGCAGTCTAATAAGGGAGTTTTTCATTAATATTCCAAACCATGTTCACTGGCAGATACAGCAGGTGAGGTAGTAAAATTATGGGCCCATCAAAAATACTTATGCTTCCTGTAATATGATATTAAGTTTAATATTTTTATAACCTTCACTGAATTCTAATTTCAGTACAGTAGCAACTGTGCTTCCATTTGCAGTTCAGTTACGCACTTTGGTTGCCAGTGTACCTAGCAAATTAGAAATGCAAAATGCCTGTGTGGGAGGGGCGTTGGAAAGAGTCAGTAAAGATCTGGAAATGCCCAGGACTCAGGTCACAGCATTCTCCCTGCTAGAGCTGGGCAATCCCAAGAGACATGGCTTGCAGGGCAACAGTGGTGCATAGTCACAACCACAAGGAGTCTGTGTCACATTCCATTGTTGAGTTATGGGAGATAGGGATGTTAGAAAAGATTTGTATTAAGAAAAGTAAGAGCCGGGGGTTTAGCTCAGTGGTGCTGCCACCTGCTTTGCAAGCACAAGGACCCAAGTTCAATCCCCAGTACCAAAAAAAGAGAGGTAATATAGAGCCAGATGTGGTGGCACATGGCAGCATTTGGGAGGCTGAGGCAGGAGGATTGCTGAGAATTTGAGGCCAACCTGGGCCATGTAGTGAGACCCTATTTCAAAAAAACAAAACAAAACAAAAGAAACAAAACAAAAAAGAAAGGTATGTAAAAAAGAATAAGTGAGCCTTGTTATTTGACCAATGCCTGTGTATAGCATACCTCTTCTTTTTTTTTTGTTTTTTGTCTTTGTTTCTTGGTCCTGGGGATCGAACTCAGGCCCTTAGCGCTTACGAGGCAGGCGGCAGAACCACTGAGCCAAACCACCAGCCCTTTTCTTCTTGATCCTAGAGAAGGGGTTAGAACATTTGTACTAGTCTCTGCACAGATCAAG